AGCAGTAATGACAAAAAGTTATTTTTATAAATGTAACCTACTGCAGCTCTAAATTCCTCCCAAGTCTGGACACACTGAGATGTAACTGCAACTTGACTGGTTGTCAGGGGAATAAAAAAATCAGATCTAGATCAGTATTATTGTATTCATTTTGGATATGACATTATGGATATGATTCAATTGATTACATATTTTAGATCAATACATTATATGTTTCTTAATGTATATTTGGAGTTTTGAACCAATTATACACCATACACCAATACATCATTTTGAGTTAAATCAAAATCAACTACGTAATTTTAGTTTTTAAATAAACTCAACGTCTGTGTTGTAACACAAATATGATACCGTCTCAGTCATTCAATAAGTATTAAATACCATGTCAAGTCCTTTTTAAATCATAAATGCAAATAATTTGAATGTGCATGTGTGCAGATAAAATCAGATTTGGCCTCCTTTGGTATAATGTAAACATGGTAGAGGACCAAAATGCAGCAGAGTAAACAAGAAAGTGAGGGAGTAATGCTGTGGTAAGTGCTGAGTTGTAGCTATTTAAAGATATCTGCAGAGTGAGTGTCATTGTGTAAGGCTTATTTCTGGTTTTAGCTGCAGCTCTGCTGTTAAACAGGAGCAATTTAAAGGTATATGCTTAAGTCAGTAAATATATATAGTCTGTCATTATCTTGTCAAAAATTACAATTAAAAAGCTTAAATAATCCTAATAATTTACTGTTTAAACTGTCAACTGAAGTTTTCTTCCTGACCTCCCATGCATTCATTTAGCAGCTCAAGCTATTCATATCTATCATCTCATCCAAATCCTTAATGTCAGTAAAACAAAATCACAAATTTTACAATACAACAGGCATTTAAAATCATTGGACAAAGTAGCGTACTGAAATATTGAAATATTTCAGGCATTTTACCAGCTCCAATCCGAGGACAAAATCGTCCTTTTTCTTTAAACAATTCTAAAAATTTACATTCTTTTTGACACAAAATATTTAAACTCCAAATAAGTGCCTTACTTTGGTTTCTCGCAATACTAACATCCCACACAGTCATATTTAATCTAGTGGAACACCTCTGTTAGACATACCAAATCTGTTTTCTCCAAGTATGGAATTTTTACAACAGCTATAATACAGTATGTGAAGGTGGATGGTGACAGCTGGACTGACCTCAGCTGCCAGTGTTTGGTATGTACAACCTGATGAGGTCCTCTTCTGAAGATGACTTACTCCTTTGATGAACAGGTGATCGTATTATGCTATTTCTACTTTGGCTAGGTGTGGAAGATCTTGGTGATGTTATTGCACAGCCTGCAACTCTTTGCTACGAGGCAGAATAAATATTTTTTCTGAAGGTCTGTTGTAGCTGAGGTGATCTGCACTGAGGATCACTTCAGCTTTTTGGCTTAAATCATGAATATCTGTTTCTACAGTGAGTGATGATGCTTCTTCTTTTCGTTGACAATACTTCTTGCTGTGATTACAAAGATGTTTCTTTCTTTTTCAACTATTTATCTAGTCGTGAGTAGACTCATGTCTGCTTATTTGCTGCAACAGTGTCCTCTGTGAATGTTTCTCTTCATTAATATGATAGCATTTTATGGATTATAGTACATCTCCACCAGGCTGACTTCAGTTGATCAGTCCAATCTCAAAGCATGTTGTGCATCTTTCCATTTAGCATTAACACACATCTTCCCTCATCCGGCACAATAAGCATTTTAATAGCAGGAATTGCTCCAAAGAGACTGTGAGTAGCCAATGAGAGTGCATCTTATTGTGAGCTGATGTGGAGTGAGTTGAGTATTGTGTTATGTTTGAGATCATTGGTTCTTGTGTCAGTTGATTGATCTGAATCCTATCACAAGACAGTACTGCAGAACTCTGTACTATGTTCAGTGCGTTTTTTTTTTATTTTATTTTTAATTTTTTCAGTATCTGCACATGCAACTACGGTATGGTTAAAGCTGCACTAATCATTTTTTTGTAATGTGAAAGATGTCACAAAGTTTGCCTCTTTTAGTTTGTTGTTCTGGTTTTACGGCTCACAACTTTACCGTTTTGTTTGGCCTCAGTGACCACATCAACATTTATCAGGTGAACACAAACTAAATATGAAGGTCCAAATGAATGCTAATGTTGCTCTGTGTGTGCTGGATGTGTAAATAGGCTGTTCGCTAAAACGTTATAAAGACTTTATGAGGTTACATTTGTGGTCTGCCGGCCACCAAGGGGCTGTTCAGCATCAGAATTTTGTTTATTGCCAAGTAGGTTTTTACGCCTACGAGGAATGTGACCTGGTGCAGTTGGTGCATAAAATATACACATATACAAATATACAAATATTCAAATCACACAAAAAT